TCTAAAAATCTATCAATTTGTTAGAGTTTTTTGATTTAGCTTGTTTTAAAAAAGTTATACTACTTTAAAGTTTTATTAATAGACATTGGATGTCTCTTGCTGTCCTGCACTGTATATAAACCTTTAATATAAACACATTTATCAACCACATGTAATATAATAATATTTTATACAATTATTAAGTAAAAGAGCTAGAATGTAATTAAATACCCTGATGCTTGCATAGAGCTCCACCAAGTGCAACAGAGCATGTATAATTTCTTTAGAGGTATCAACAATATAAAATTTATTAATACTTGCACTTGGTACAGTATAAAGACCACTTTGGTTATTATATTAAATTTTTTATAAGTTAATTTGTTGCTATTTAGAACAAAAAAATTGCTTTGATATTTCAAGATAACCTGGATAATGATTTGCAATAGCTATTAGTCAATATTCATAAAAACATTCCATGTTAGTTGTACTAAAATAAAATATTTGCACAACATTGTATGTCTGAGTTTGAGAAAAATAATGCCTTTAATAAGCCCAAAGCTTTTTTCAATATAGTTATTTGTTTTTTTGTTTTTTTGACATTAAGATAAGGCCTTGCTCATATCTTTATTGGATAATTTATACAAGTAAATACATGGGATATGTAGATACTTAATTTGTATACTAACAAAAGCATATAAATTATATTCAAAAATGAGAGCTCAAACTAGAAGCTCAACTAAAGCTTGGTGAACTTTGGCTAAACTAGTTATCTGCGACCTAAACCTACTAGAGTGATCAAGACTCATCTAGATTTTTATAGTTAATTAATTAGAGATATACTATATTGAATCCATAATGTAGACCAAAGTTGAACTTTTTGTATTGCTTGTCCTTTTGGAAGACAATTTTCCTCATTGTCATGCAATTGATCTGTAAGGCTGCAGAGGCATGAGTAAGTAAATTTTCTTCATTGGTGTTGAGTAGGTTTGTGAATATAATTCTGTAGAGTTCAGTCAGACCTCCCTATAGTCACCAAGTTGGTCACGCCCTATTGTGGTACTTGTATAGAGGTGTGACTATAAATAAAATACCTTTTATAGTTACATATCTATTGCCAATGAGTGTTTAATATAATATGTAGTTGTAACATATTGAAATACTATTAAAAAATTTAAAATATTTAGTAGTGAATAACTTTTGATTCAGTAGTCCAATTTGGATGAAATGAATACCAGAGTGATTGTCTCAATGAGACAATTCTAATGAGTCCTAATCTAGTTACAAAACCCAAGATTACTAAGGATTTTTCACTTAGATGTTTAAATTTAATCAATTGTTAAACACATGAAGTAACACAAATCCTTAACGATCTTGGGAACTTGTAATTAAATTTTAACAATTTTGGGCTCATTAGAATCGTTTCATTGAGACAAACATTTTGGTAGTTGTTTGATCCAAATATAGTCATTGGATCAAAAGTTATTTGCTGTCAAATCTTTAAAAAGTTTTAAATATATATGAATATGAACATTGACCAATCAGATTTTATAATTCGAATTGAGTTAAAAATTGGTGACTATAATGAGAGTTTATTATTAATAAAATTGTTTTTTTTTTGGTATTAAGGTGATCTTCTTTGGCCTGGAGACTTTTATTAGAGTATAGATGGAGTTTTATAATATAATTACAATGATAGTACATCAAGCTACATATGCACTATTTGAGTGCCTAATTTAAGTAGTCCGCCCAAAGTTTTACACTATCTGCCGTACCTGCACCTCAACTATCTGGTTCTAACCACCTCCATCAGCCCTTAACCCTGGGTGTATCTCACTATTTATGTATGGATTTCGGATATTACCCAATATGGATTTCGCACCCTACCTTAGGACTTACTAACCACACAGATTTTGTCAATCCCTATCATTAAGACTTACTAACCATATATAGTTAATCTATTCTCGAAGATAAACTTAACAAAGTGGTACATGTCCCACACATGTATTCACCTGCATGTTCCTATAACTTCTTTCTAATTAGTACCTATTGATCTGCCATTGCGTATTAGTATCTTATGCCACCTTTTGGGGTGCTGCCTTTCTATGGATATTTCTCAAGCACCAACCTTTCTAACTAGGCGCCCATTACATACTCCTTGCCCTTATTCAGTTCACAACAACCCTGCTATCCACATTTGGACTGTCTTCTTACCCGGATTCTTTATCAGTCTCTCTCTTACTTCTAGCCGGCAACCCGGACAGATCGGTCTACCTAGGCTTTAGGTGCCTGAAGGATGCCCTTTTCTTGGTTCATAATTTCGGAGCGTATGTCTTTTTTCTCCAGTGTGTCAGCCTGGCGGTTCGGCTAGTGTGTCTCCCACTTAAGGACCTGATCGCTTGGTTCTTCAATCTCAGGCCCTGGTTCGAATTCAGCCCTCCTGTGGCACCATCGAAGATCACTGCTATTTCCAAATTCAGGACTTGCCAAATAGGTTTTTGGTTATGCCAGTTCCTAGAATTTATTGTGCCAAAGCTCCCATTATTAGATGGTGTGACCGAGATTACAGATTTTAGATCCAACTAATAATCACAACCTGAACCAAAACACAGACTATTTTTCAAAATTCGTTGTCTATAGAATTTAACTCTAGACCTACCACTTGGAGAGGGTGACGACTAGACCACTACACTAAGTCATCACACCTTATTATTAATAAAATTGTTAAAAAATTAAATTTTTATAGTGATAGTAATTATAAGTGATTTTATTTTTATTTTTTTGGTATTAAGATAACCTCTTTGACCTGAGGACTTTTTATTAAAGTATAGACGATGTTTTATAATTTAATTACAACAATGGTACATCAAGCCACACATGCACTTTTGGTGCCTAATTTAAGTGGTCCACCCGAAATGTTAGTGCTATGCTAAGGGTTCTACACTATCTGCCATACCTGTACCCCAACTATGGGGGTATCCATTTAAACCATCTGGTTCTAACTACCATTATCTGCCCTCTAACCCATAGATATTACTTACTATTTATACGTAGATTTTGCATCTACCCAATTTGGATTTTGCACCCTACCTTAGAACTTACTAACATAAGCTAGTCTATTCTCGAGGTAAACCTAACAGAGCAGTACACATCCCACATGTGTATTCAACTACATGTTCCTATAACTTCTTCCTGATTAGTACATATTGACCTGCTGTTCCGTATGCGTATCTCATGCCACCTTTTGGGGTGCTGCTGTTCTACTGACATTTCTCAAGCACCAACCTTCCTAACTAGGCATCCATTACGTACTCCTTGCCCTTATTCAGTTTACAACAACCCCAATACCCGCATTTGGACTGGATTCTTATCCGGATTCTTTACTAGTCCATCTCTTACTTCCAGCCGGCAACCCAGAAAGGTTGGTCTGCCCAGGCTTTAGGTGCTTGAAGGACGCCCTCTCCTTGGTTCATACTTTTGGAGCATATGCCTTTTTCCTCTAGGGCGACAACTCACAGTTCGGCTGTTGTGTCCTCCGCTAGTGAACCTGGTCGCTTGGTTCTCCGATCTTGGGCCCCAATTCGAATTTAGCCCTCCTGTGGTATCATTGAAGATCATTGCTATCTCCAAATTCAGAACTTGCCAAATTGGTTTTTGGTTATACCAGTTCCTCTGATTTATTGTACCAAAGCTCTCATTTCTAGATGGTGTGACTGAAGTTACAAATTAAGTTCTGGATCCAACCAATAAACATAGCCATCAATCGAACACAGGCCTATTTTTCAAATATCATTGCCAGTGGGATTTGAACTCTAGACCTGCTACTTAGAGAGGGTGATGACTAGACCACTACACTAAGTTGCTACACCTCTAGTAATTATAAGTGATTTGTGACTATAATGGGGTTTTTTACTATGTTTTAAGTCTTTCGCGCAATATTGGGTGCTTAAATAGAGATGTGACTATATGGGGTGTAACTATAGGAAGGTCTGACTGTATTCTCTATATCATATGCTGGTATACCCTGTTGCTTTTAGATTTGTTTATATATCACTGTAGATATTTTTAGCAATATTTGAATAATAGTTTTAATAGCAATTCTATATAGTATATCCAGAGTCTGAAGTGCTTGAATTAATTAAGTTGAAATAAGGCCTTTCATGGTTAAATAAGTGGTGTGATATAATAAGATCAATTATTGCTCTACATTGCAAATGCATAAAATCACAAGAGCTATTTATAACCACTGCTATAGTAAATGTGCTAATAATTTTGATAAGAGACCCTAAACCTAATCCTAACTACCTTATACTCTTTTGACTATATCTTATGATCTAGTAATTTAATTTCAATAATTTTGGTATTATTCGAATTACCACAGCAAGAAGAATCTGATATACTTAAAATTATTTTGTTATCACTACACAGTCACATGATAAATCTAAATACCTAAAGTTACTAATATTTAAATAGGGTTAAATATTTTAAATTTAGAGTTAAATACATTGTAAATGTATTAAATTTGGAGTTAAATACATTAATAATATATTAATATTAGAAAAATATATTAAAAATATGTTAATATTAGGGTTAAACACATTAAAATATGTTAATATAAGGGTTAAATACATTAAAATATGTTAATATATAGGTTAAATACATTAATATACATTAATTTAAGAGTTAAATACATTAAAATATGTTAATATAAGGGTTAAATACATTAAAATACATTAATATAAGGGTTAAATACATTAAAATACTTTAATATAAGGGTTAAATACATTTATTGCTGATCTGGATAAAATCGGCACAAATTTATTATACAAATTTGGGGTAAATTTGTTAAATTTTATATGAAACGATAAAGAATACACGAAAATACTAAAAAGGCAAAGTACAATAAAATCATCAAAAGCAAGTTTTTATCGCATGGGTAACTTAGTTAAAAGGCTTTAAAATCGTTTTATGACAAAAAAAAATCACTACTAGTTTGTAAAAAAAAACTTTGCTTTGGAGTGGTGTCAGATTTCGAACTAAACCAAATCACGAAGATTCAATTGCAATTATATAAAAATCAGTAATGAAATAAAAAAAAAAAAAAGGCTAACCATGACAGCCTAAAAAAAACGACAAATGCAAAAAAAAAAAAAAAACAAGAAACTGCAATATATATTCGGGTAGTTGTATTTATTATAAACATATAGCTTTATTTTTATTTTTCCTCCAAAGAACGTTCTGCTATTGCCTTCTTCCATGATCTTGAAAAACCACTTATCCAGTTTGAAATTGTCGAAACTTCAGGTATGTCAACCTCATTAATTTTACCTTCCTGGGAACGTCTTAGTAATTCTTGTTGCATTTCAGTTGCAGACATTTTGTTTCGTGGACTTGCTGTTCTAGTATGAAACATGGTTTCTAACAAACCTTTTACTTGAGGCGTGAGTTGTTTGACTGATGTTTTCCTTTTCTTTTGCTTTTCTTTAAGACACCAACCGGCGACGAATTTTTGACAACTAATATATAAAAGTATAAGAGAAGAATTCCGAATGGAACAAAGTAAGTGATAAGTGATATAATGAAGAAACAAAAGAGAACGAAATTAGAAAAAAGTATTGAAAGTGAGAAGAAAAATTATAAAGAGAAGTGAAAGAAAAGAACGAAGGTAAGAAAAAGGCCAAGAAAGGGTTAGAGGTGAAGCAATAGAAAAAAAATAAGAAAATAAGGATAATATGAAAGGAAACGAGAGTGTAAAAAAAAATAATAATAAAGAAAAGAACAAAAGGCGAAAGGAAAAAAATAAGGAGGAAGGCGAAAATGAGAAGAAATTAAGGCGTGAAAAAAGATGAAAAATAAAAAGAAATGTGAAAGGCAAAATATGAATAAATATGAAATATAAAGTGCTACAAATAAATAAAAGTAAACGAAATGGAAAATAAAAGATGTAGACGAAAGTGTAAAGATAAATAAAATTGAAAAAATAAATAGTGAGAAATCAAATGAGATCGTAAAAAATAAAATAAAAATACATAAATAAAGACATAATAAATAAACCGAAAATTTAGAACATGAATTGAATAAAAATTTGTAATATAAATAGATGTGAAAAACATGATTGAAAGTAGACAATGAATAAAAAGTATGAATATAGACGAAAGCGTAAGGCATAGCGAAAGTATGAAATTCAGTGAATATTTGATAAATTCGATAAATTTGCAAAGAAATAAAAATAAAAAATAAAACTATAACCCTTCAGATTCGGTATAAATTTCTATTTTCGCTGTATTGGTCAAGTCGATTGTTTCCTGGATTATAAGCAGCTATTTTTAGCTATTTGTTTATTGAGTACGAAAAAATTTTAGCAAATTACATATGAGATCATCATTCTTGTCTTCATTTACTAACTCTTCATTCGACGAAATTATAAAATTATATAATTAGTATTAATATTCAAACAGAGATATTACTATAAATTACCAAGTGCCAGATAATAATTCTATTGCTAATAAGGCCAGACCCACTTTATTTTCTGATTAATATTAGATAACTTGTAAAAAAGGGCGGGGTATTGAAAAGAAACATATATTGATATTACATAAAAACCAGTACAGTGAAACCTCTCTAGATATACTTTCTTTAAATGCACAAACTCTCTAAGCGCATTCTTAAATTCCGAAACATCCTTAATTTCTTCATGATCAACCAAAGAAGTTTTTCTATTTTCAGGAACACCAGATACAAAATCTGGAGGCATAATCATGTGAGATTCAATCATCGATTGTTCTTGTCTAATCGAATTCAACACTTGAACGACCAAGGCTTTGAAAGCATATTGATTGGAAGATTGAATGGTAGACATTTCATCGATGTGGCCCGAACATATCTTAACCTTCATAAGTGCGCTTTTACTTACTATTTTTTAAATGCGCATTATAAAAATTTGGTTCTTATAAGCTGCATTTGGAGAGGTATAACTGCACTGTGAATTTCTTTACTAATTAAATGTGTATAGATTTAAAAATAGAGGAAATTGGTTGCTAGGAAAATCACCATTCGACATTTTTCGATCAGGCTAATTCCGGTTCTTACTTGCATGTAAATCATCTTTTGTTTTTATTTGCAATAATTTATCAAATAAACTATTGAGTTAATAAAGGCAAAGATGATTTATATGCAAGTAAGAACCAACACGTTGGTCTAAGTTTGTCTGAATTAGCTCGATCAGAAAATGCCGAATGGCGATTTTCCTATGACCCATATTGAGTTTTTATAGTTTTTGAAAAATTGAGGTGAAG